GTGCGCGCCTGGCGCGACAAGCCCTCCTATTCTAAGTCTTTTATAGCCGCGCGACAACGCGCGACAAGGGGTATGTAACAAGCCCCGCGTTTCAAGGGTATGTAACAGAGGCTTGTCCGCGCGGGCCATCGGGCACGGGGTTTCGACTCACATGACCCCCAGGGCCTGGAAGGTATGGGTAGTACTGGTGGATTGACCTTTCCCCAGGCTGTAGGCATGCCTTCACGGGTCTAACTGCCCTTGGTGCGATCTAGGACTCTGTCGACAGTACCTGGAAGCAGTACCAGGCGTGCCAAGCTGGCGTTTGTCATCCATGCAGTGGGGGTGGCTTCAAGATGCGCACGCCCCAGAGGTCCAAGCTCAACAGCACCACCAACTCATGTCCCTGATGGCAGAGCACTCGCAACTGCAGGCTCTATACACGCTAATGTCACTGCTATGCTGTGCCGAGCCATGTGTTAGACTTGAGCACCACAGCGGGAGGCGGAGCAGCAAGACACGCAGGCCGAGCTCAACGCTTGCCAGGACCACCTTGTGCGCGTGCACCTCAGTGTCTGTCCAGAAGCTGCAGGCATGCTGCAGGCTGCAGGCTCTTCTTACTCGTTCAGTAGGTATGACGAGGGCAAGGGGCAGTGGGAAAGACGTGCGAGGGGACATTTCTGAGCATCTACGCCCACCCTGAAGCCTTTTGACAGCCCAGCCATGTGGTAACGCGCCAGGCTGGCGTCGCAAGGCGTCAGAGCTGGAGAATCAGGCCAGGCTTAGCGAATGCAGTCACACGCTTGAGCTGCTGAGAGCACACCTCTTAGCGTAGTTGCAGCTTGTCGAATCTAGTGGAAAAACATATCGGAGCTCTGCAAAGCAGATGTAAGACACACACGCATGCGCACAAGGATAGATGCTCCAAGTATCTTTCGTCACGATTCAGGCTGCTTTAGCAGAGAGCGGCCGCGATGAGGCGGAGCGTCGCGAGTGGAGCCCAGAGGCATTTTAAACAACTTTGAACTGGATTCGTTGGGGCGCGGCATGACCTGAGGCCAGATGCGTCCAGGAGGCTTGGCCTGCAAGTGCTTCTGTTGCAGCTGCAGGATCTAGCAAATAGTTTAGCTTGGGGGCGCTCATCATCTATATCCAAGGAAGAGATGCGACAGGCATGCTGGGCTTGCTGGCTGTCTTTTGAGAGCCTTTCCAGAGCCCATCCTGCGGAATGCTGATCTGGCGAGGCCCTGCGATCTGCCGCCTCAGCCAAGGGCCGTCAGAAGGAGGCGGAGCGCATGGCGCGCCAGGACCCTGCAAATGGTGAGCCATAATGGCGCAGCTTGGAAGTCATTAGATCCAGGAGGAGCAGCAAATGCGAGACCTGGATGAGCGACTGAAGGCAAATAGCAGTGCTCAGCTGCCTCTTTGTGTTTGAGACGTCGGTATCCTTACCACTGAAGCGCTTCCCTTCTGCCAGTATGAACGCATCACATCAAATCATGAATCATGCGTTCTTTCGCAGCTTTCTTTTCGTGGCTCAGATACATAGGCGCCGACTAGGTCGGAGGACAGTGGGACCAAATGCGGTCCCTGGGCCTAGTTATTGCGCTGCTGCCCTCCAAGCCTTTGAGCTTTCCATCTCCCTCTTGTTCAGCAACTCCAGAATGTGCAGTGCTCAACCTTGTCGGGGATTGCTGTCCACACATCAGCGGGAACTACCTGGACTGCTGCACCCCTTCAAGGCAGTGCTCCAACAATCACCTTTGTGCGGCCCGGGGATTGGGAGGCCTATGCTGTCCCAATGATGCTGGGCACCTGTTGGACTGCTGCTCTGAAACCAAGCTCCCGCTGACTACGGCAGCTCCCAGAACTTCCTCTCTGGCGGCCACTGAAAGCGCAGATTCACAGATTGGCCTTGAGAGTGCCAACGATGAGCACAGCAGCCAGAGATCGGAAGCAGAGGAGTTTCAAGTCCCCGGAGGGCCAGACATCAGGGAAGGAGACGAGACCAAACAGCATGAGAAGCACGGAAGCCGTTTTGGCCCTCTGTCGATGATTGGGTTCTTGCTGCTTCTGATTTGCATTCCAGGACTTTGTTGCTGGATTTGCTGGATCAGAATTTTGAACAAGCGCAGCCCGGATAGGTCAGATAGGGCTCGCGCGCTTCCTGAGATCATGGACATGGAGTCAGTGAGTGCGGTGAGCACTCGAACTGAGGCGACCAGTCAGGTAGAGTCCTCCGCATGCCAAGTTCAGTCCGATGAGCTGTACCTCTCCCGTGATCTCAAGGAGACCGACGTGCCGATGGCCGTGGGCTGCTGTCCCCATGTGTGTTCTAGCCATGCAGGGGGGGGAGTGGTGCAGGCCCCACCTCTCCGCACCGACCCAAGACGAACAATCAATAGCGGCTACAATAGCGGCTACAATAGCGTCTTGGCTTTGTAAACTAGGCTGCGACTTTGCAGCCCCAAGGCAAGCTCTTTTTCCTTTGTGACTCGTGCTTGAACGAGATTTAGTGCGCAAGGTGGAGGCGCATGCTGCACAGGAATTCGGGACTTTGACTGAGATGCAAGCTCAACTTTAAGCAGCAGCAATGCTCTCAGGAAAGTCTTGGTGTTTTTTGCTGTGTTTATTACAGGGATGGTGGACCCTCCAGTAGGCGATGATTCTCTGGCTCAAGGATATAAGGGAGTTCTTTCTTCTCGGCCGCCTGCTGGGATGAGCCACCCTCCCCCAGCGAATTTCCCAACGCTGATGGGCGCTGGAAAGCCGTGCCCCACGGCTTTGCATGAGAAGTGGCTTGGGGTCGGAGAAGCACAAAAGATGCTTGTAGGCACCAGCCCCAGAGCCTCAGAGCCTTGTCGAAGTGCTGTCAAACGTGTTGCGAAAAGGGCGCGAATGCTTGACGGGACATGGACAGGCTGCCTAGTGGTAGCAAGTCCCACTTTCAGGCAGGCACAGCGTCTTTGCAACAGGCCTTGCGCCACGACAGCCGCATAAACGCGCGGCGTGGCTTCTTTGCAGACAGTGGGGCTCGGCAGTTCGCTGCATGTCCTCCCAGGCATTGTAATAGTTCATACCCTTAGAGATCTTTGTTTGATGAAGAAGCGCTTAGCAGATCGTAGACCAGCTGCAGCTGAAAATCAGGTGCAGGTAGCGCCGAGCGGCGGCTTGCTTCTGCAGAGGTACTCGTGGTAGCGGTTCTCCACCAGAGAGCTGCACACAATCTGCACTTCGTATCAGCACTCGACATAATGGTGCAACTCGCGTGTACAGGCAGCGGAAGTCGCAGCAGGCCACCTGGAAAGTGAGGTTGTCGACCTCAGACGCCGACTACGACTGGCCGAGGAGCAGGACTGCAAACTCAAGCCGTAGAACAGAGATTTGAATGATTCGATCTTATCTTGTTGAAATGATGAATGCCCTTCCTTGCAATGGCCAGGGCAATGAGCTCCGAATCAACAATCAGCAGCTTGCATGCTCTAGCTGAATTGCGAGTCTGGGCAGAAAGTTTGCTTCCAGTTTCATGTTCTGCGCCCTCTTCGTGTAGACTTTCTAGAAGGACTTTCAGGAGGGCAGACATCAGAAGTGCCCTTTTCATTTTTATCATTGGATGCTTTGGGTCCAAATTCCCGGGTAAGCCGCGGTTCCGTCACTCTAGTTTGGTCGAGTCTGGTCTCTGCCTAAGGCGCTTTGAGCAGGCAGAGGCTCGCTCGGCTCAGCGAGCTGGGGAGGCCGGGGCCTCAGGGGAGGGTATGCTGGTTCAGTAAGCAGTTGGGATGGGGGGGGGGGTCATCATTGTCATCATACTGCTACAAGGATTGGTATCAATATGTATCAACACGAAAAACGCCAACGCTGCTGTAGTAAGCTCGGAGAGCATTCGGCAAGCATGGCTTTGTAAGAGAGAATCATGCCAACAGTAGTTCCAAAAGCTGACTCTCAATCCGGGCGCAACATCCGCCGGATAAGTTTGCATACGCGATCGGTTACCTTCATTTCTTGTGGCCCTCTCTGCCCTCAAGAAGAGCATTGTTCCGGCATTATAGAGCCGAGGGTATGGTGCCAGCCTCTGAGAGCCGCTGGCAGGTGAAAGGCGAGCTGAGGGCTGCGGAAGCCTTGAACCAGACAAACGCAACACACCTCAAGGGTCTCGAGGCTGCGCAGGGCTTGTGCGTCCGGTTGAACAAAAAACAGGACAGGAGCAAGTTCTTCTGGACGTCTCAGGTGCAGCTGATGACGGCCAGAGAGGCATTGGCAGAGGCAGGCACAAAATCATCAGATCTGTCATGGGTTCTCCTGCCAGATGAAAACCTACAGTAGACGTTACTTCTGAAGTGCTGTGCTCCTTCAACTAGAAGTTCATGAGCGCATCAAGGCGGTCCCTGCGCTTGTTGGGTTCCATTACAACCTCCCTCAAAACTTTCTCAGGCATGCGCACACAATGTGAGATCTATGTGGGATAGAAGCTGGCTCTGATGCTCAGAGATCTCAGAATAACTGAAGGCAGAGGCAGACCGTTCCACCAAAACCAGCTGGTCGAAGCGGCTTGGACACGAGCTGGCAGATGCACGCGCAGGGGAGCAAGAGGTGCTGCATGGTGTCCCAGTTGTAGTTCCATGCAGGTCCAATGCAGAAAGCCCTTTGTGATTTGAATTGTTCTGCATTGGGGAGATTGGCACCCTTTGCCCTGGAAGGCGTGGCAGATGCAGGCGCAGCAAGCCCACGAACTGCGTGAAGCCCGTCGGCGCCTAGACCAGCTGGTTGGCGGAGGCAGTGGGGATCCAGAAACAGTGGCATGCCCTACTTTTACAGCACATTTGCTGCGTTTGCTGGTGTAGGAAGTGTTGCATAGACAAAAAGGAACTTCTATGCCTGGCGGGCAGCTCGCCATATCCTCAGCCATCAGATGAATGGAGCTGCTGAATGATTTTGCTAAGACGGTTTACGGTTTTGTGCCGAGGCACAGTGCAAGCGCCGGCTGCTTGATCTCGAACAGGCTGGTGTGTCACATTGTGTCATCTTGCTTCCAAACTCCAGCCTGACGACTGTGCTAGAGGCCTGCAGCCGAAAGGAGGCAGAGGTGGCAGAGGAAAGCGCTACTGAGATTGCTTGTATTGCTTTTGTTGAGCGGCTGGCGGCTAGGAGCGGCGTGCTCGCGAACGGTGCCACACAGAGGCAGGCAGTAGGCAGGGGAAGCAGCAGCAAGACGTCCAGTCTCCAGGCAGTTCGAGCCAGCGAAAAGTTGCGTGCGGCAAGGCGCCTGAGCGCACGAGACCCCGCAAAATCGAAGCAGTCATCTATCAGCACAAGGGCGTTTTGGGACATTTCAGTTAGTTAGGTCGTGTTCTGATTGTTGAGAAATTCATGTACCCGCAGCAAGCATTAGGAAATCGTAGTGCTTGTGAACATGCGGGTAGAAGCCTCTGCAACGGTTTTGAAATGACACTGGCCTTGGTTCGGACTCCCTGGGCCAAGGGCGCAGGGCGCTCAACTGAAGGAGCGGCTGCGAACTCTGGAGGAGTCTGAGCATTCTGTTTGCACAGAGCTTGGCAATGTAGCTTTTTCAAGTAGATTCCAATCGGCCAGAAAGTTTTCGGGAGGCGGCAATATCTGATCTGAGGCTTCGCTACCCGTCGCGGTTCCCACCGCAGAAGAGCCCGGCGTTGCAGCCGAAGCCGCAGGTGAGCACCCGCCGCCCCAGCCGCAGCTTCAGCGTCCCAGCGGAAGGGAGATTACGTGACGGTCGGCGAGCCGACTCCCAGCCCATGCCAAGCAACTGGGCCCAGGAGACCTTGCAAACGCCAGAGCAGCCCGAGCACCAGCCGAGTACCTCAAGTGCAGATGACGTGCAAGTGATGAAGAATTTCGTAAAGAGCGAGGAAGCGAGGCTTCGGGCTCTAAGCACAGCGCAAGGCAGTGCGGAGTCCACTGCAAGCCCACCACCGCACAAAGAGGTTCCTCGAGGCTTGGATTCTGGCTACCGCTTATCCTGGGAGGAAGCGCAGGAGGCTTAGTGTCTCAGAAGAGTGTCATCTGAAAAAATGGGGTAGCATCCTTTGCGGGAATATGCCAAGCTCAGGCCGAGGGCTGCAATTCCCTTGAAAGCCAGGAGCTCTGGAACATCTTGGAAAAATTCACATCCTTTGAGAGTTACCTTAAGCGAAAGCCAAGGCGTCAGAGCCTCCTGCACAGCTCCCAGAGGAGGCCAGCACTTGCGGCATGCTGAATTTCATGTCAGGCAAGCACTGCTTGCACTGGTGAAGCATCCTAAGCAGCCATTGCACCAACAAGTTGCCAGCAAGTACACATCACTTCTCTCGAGGACCTGAGCCTGGCTGCTCTGCTTTCTATGCAGCCCCCGACCGCTGACAAGCAGGCTGTCGGTGGATGGCCATGTGTCAAGGACTTGTCAAGGACCCTTTGGATATAGGTGGTCTGGGCAGTTTTGGGCATGGCGTAGATGGTAGGTTGAGATAAAGCCGTGAGGGACAGCATGCAACATGTTTATCTGTGAAGGCCTCGCCGGCAGGTTACCCTGATTTGCCTCCAGAGGCGTGGCAGCCACTGCTGGCTGGACAGGATTTAATTGTGATAAGAATGATAAGAATGATATTAAGAATCGAATATAACCGAATTGATGTGAATATCAGTGTAAGAATATGAATGATAAGAGAATTCAATGCAGGAGTCACTAGCCTTTGCCTGTCATTGTGCCAGGTGGCGCCTGTCTTTGGACTGCAGGCCTTCTGAGAGTAGACTTGATGCTATCAACGCATGACCGACTGGTGCTTGAGGGAAAGTGGGGGAGTGGATCCCTGTAGTAATCCCTATAGGGTTTAGGGTTGAGGGTTTGGATCCTTATAATCCCTACATAATCCCAATGTATACCCATATAATGGTACCTATATTCACTTCCCACTCCCCCTTCAGCACCAATAGGATGATTGCTGTTGGTTGCTCCTTGCAGGGGACTACGAGCGCGTGAGCGCTGCGAAGATTCCCACAGAATCTGTCAGAACGTGGGGAGCGTTCTCAGTTAATGAAGTTCAGTCAGGGCTGCCATGCTCCGGCCGGAAAAATAATGGCTTTGCTTCTCTTACCTATTGGAAGGCTGCCATGGCCTCCTGCATAAGCCAAACAGTCGCACAAGGATCCGCAGCGTTCTTTGGCTCGTCTGCTGATGCAAATCATGCCTGAGTTGGGCAGGGCCTCGAATTCGCTGCATGACGCACGGTGGCTACAAAGCAACAAGAAGCATGACATCACACAAAAAGGGAGGTTCAGTATGGACAGCCGTGTGTGCAAGTAATACTAGGATATACGATGACATTGGGTAAGCAGCTTCAACCGTAATGCAAGAAGAAGTTGTTGCTTGCTTACAAATTAATTCCCGGCACCAGCCCTGAATGCATGGTTTTCCTTGCCTTGCTCCTCGGCATCAAGCCAGTGACACGCGATGTCCACGTGCATTCCAGGCCATGCCAGATTTAGAGTCCCAGGTTTTTGGGCGCTTGCGCACGAGGGGCAGCCGAACAAGCTGGCATTCCTTTGAACTTCAAGGTTGGAGAGCTCACAGAAGAGGAGCACGACCAGCTTATCTAGATTGCAGCTGATACTCGTTGTTTTGGAGCTGAGACAACTAATTAGGTTCTCTGCTTTGTTTGGAGGAGTCGAAGTCTGATGTGCGCTTCAGCTGCGTCAGACATGTTAATGGCCGCGGCTGAATCATGCATGAGATGTTTTCAGATGCCTATTTAGCGCTGCTAAAGGCCATGGTTTTCTGTTTTGAAGCATACCAAGGATCCCCGCACAGTTTCGCTGTCCGGCCTGCAAAGCGGTTGTTTTCCAAGTGCAGAGCAGGCTGGATCCTTGTCAGCACAATCTGTTCAGCTCTTAGAAGCAATAGGCAGTAGACTCCGCGCAGCCATATAGTCTTGGACCCAGCTCGTGTTTCAATTTTTTGCGCAAGGTACCGAATCCTGCGTAGCGAGAAGAGTCTTCATGCAAAAAGTCTCCAAACCCTGCAAACTGCAAAACCTTGCCAAAAGACAAGGTGACTGTCCGAAACCGATAAGAACAAACTTTGGCAGGGTGGGTACTAGGGTTTGGGAGCAGTAGTGGGGTTTGTCTCTCAGCAAGGACAAATTGAATTTGAAGGATCCGACCTCTTTGGACAAACCGGCCAGGTGCTCATACCCATATAGACTTCGCTGCCACTTGCATGTGCTGCAGTTGCGGCACCAGTTCATTTGCTGACCTCCTCACCCAGGCCCGCCGTGAACAGGCGGTGCGTGTTGCGGAGATCCTTGAGGAAGTGGCTTTGAAAAGGTTTGAACGAGCGCGTCAATGGGCTCAGCAGATGTTGGGTTTGGAAGCTTGCGCCTTGAGCCCAGGCATGTAGCGATAGCACTTACAAGGACTACGGCGCCGGAGCTGCAATGATGCTGCAGGTTAAGATGGTGGCTTGAAGATTTGGGCTGTACTCAGGTATCAAAGAGCTGGCACAGGGAGGAGGAGGTGCACCCCCTCATACATGTTACTCAGGCGTTCAGAATAAAAGCTGTCATGTCTATCTGTCACAGCGCGGCATACCTACATCAACTGACGTTTGTTGAGCAAGGGCTTGCATGCTGCAAGCGTCGCCAGGCAAAGTCCTCAGCGGGCCTGGCATCGATACTAATGAGGCCCCTCAGTACAGCAGAGCTCCAGTAGCTCTTGGGAAATTGGTAGTATATTGGGGTAATATTATAGTAATAGTATAGTATCTTATAGTATATTCTAGTAATATTGTAGTATATTGTGCAGGCTGGCGTTCTTCAAGGTGGCGGAAAATGGCCCAAGCGCATTGGTGGCCTATGCCGCAGCTTAGTAGAGGCCGTACCGCGTGTGATGCCTTTGTATCTACATTGTACTGTACCTTCATTACAGTATTGTGATGCTTCGGGCCATGGCACAGCAGGAAGAGGACTTGTCCACGCGATGGCCAGAAGGGAGTTTGGGGAGGCATTATTCGTGCTTCATCTATGCAATGCTTCATGATGTTTCCCAACGATTGGGCATTTGCATTGGTCATGTTGTGTCCTTATATACTGTCTTGCGTGACAAAACATCCCCTCTGAGACTTGACGTGCCAGCGGCAGGTACTGTGAGAAGGACTGCCTTGAAAACATTGGCGGAACACCTTTGAGCAAGACAAGACCAAAAAAGAGGTTGCCTGCTTGCAGGTTGGCATGAATACCTGCACGGCAGTGTCCCGGCAGGCCACCCGCAGAAGCTGCACCGAAGACCACCTCCAAGCCACATGAGGCCGCAAAGCCCACCGGCTTGGAGGAGCTGCCACCCCCGCCTCACCAGCACAAGGTGGAGTAGCTTCTTGTGATTTGTTTGCATCGCACGCTTGTTCGAATCAGGCAAGACAGGCAAGTCTTGCAATTCGGGGGAACCGTCACGGCTCACATGGCCAATATCTGGAATCAGCTTGGGCAATTCATGGCGAGTCAAAAGCTACAGTGGCAACTGACCACCTCCTGTGCAGGTGGTCACGGCTGAGATGCTTGGCAAACTTCTTGACCTCGCCAAGCCAGAGATGACCCTCTGCCTGACCCGTTTTGTCAATACTAACATGCTAAGGAACATCTCGGACGTTATCACGCAGGGAAAATTCCACAAATTTGCCTCCTGCTCGGCATACATTTTCGTGTGCGGAGTGTCACGGACCATTGGAAGTTAGCGCCTACCTACGTGCACACTGTGTGCTTACCATTCTGTCCAGGTCCTCGTCCTGTTCTTCGATGCGTCCGAACGCAGCGCGCATGCTGTGGCAATTTGGGAATACGCTGCACGCCAGCCTGCTGAAAACAGCCTGACAGGAGCACGATAAAAAGCCATGCGCAAGTCACAGCAGAAGAATCTGCGCCGGGGGGTTTGCTGCTTCGGGCTGCTGAACTACTAACAACCTAGGCCTTTTGAAGCAACTCAGCTGCACACTGCGGATGAGAAGTTTGCACACTGAGCGAAGTGCGTTGTAGAGCTGAACATGAGATTGCTCTTGTTGGTTGCACGCTAGTCTTGAATGCAGTCAGGAAAGCCAAACTCAAGGCCAGCCTCGGCACACTTCATCCATGAGCTTTGTGTTTGTGGCTTGGCTTGCTTCTTGGTTGTGGCTAGTGCTCCTGTGAAGGATCTTCGAAAGGCCGTCCTGGCCAGGTACGACTCCTCTAGCGGAAGCATCGCCTGATCAGTGCTGGCTTTATGCAGTATAGAGAGGGCACGTGCGTGGCGTGAAAAGCCTCCATTATCATGACAAGCACCCGATGCAGAATCTCAGGAGATACTTGGGGCTACAAATTCCAGGGGCCTTTGCCGCGAGGTTTGCTGTACCGGTGACTTGCTGGCAGCAAGTCGACTGCTGCCCTTGTTGTGCTGCTCGCTTTAAGGAAAGGCTACCGCAACCCGAAGAAGTTCGACGGGAAGCTGGCAGCTACACCCAATTTTTAGTACCATCATATTTTGGGGACATGTTCATCATTCGGGGGTTGGGGAGGGATCATTCAGGCCATGCAGGGGAGGGGAAGGTTAAGCCTGAGCCAAGCCTGCCTGACTGACAATCCGAGGATGGGCCGCAGGATCTGGTTGCCACGGGACAGCAGAGTTCCGATGTATGCTTCAGAGACTCTAGAGTTTGCAGGCATGTTCAGGTATGCTATAGAGCTATAGAGTTTGACGCAATGTCTGACCTTCTCCTGCACCTGCATTTCAAGCGTTGTCAGTCCCTAGTTGCGAAGTAGCTTGCTAGGAAGCTTGATTTGGGTTCTTGGCTGTTGCTCTTGCGCTTCAAAGGATTGGTTGAAGGAGCAGTCCGCCAACTACATGAAGGACTCTTGCTGCCCCAACAGAAAGTGGCAAGAGCAAGATGCCCTGGGTGCCAAAGCAATGCACTTCACATCATGTCCATTCCTAACATGCCAGGATGATCCTGATTCATTCCCTCGCCTCAGCGGTTCCGAGCTGTGATTGCAATTTTCGCGGGCAAGATGTCCAAAGCGACAGACACGGGCCTCTCTCCCCAATGCCCTGCGCACGACACGTGGCATCTCGTGGCAGTTCGCTACAAAAGCAAAGACAGTCATGATTGGCTGCAGGACGGACGAAATGCCGAAGCCGCTAAGATCTGCTGAGAAACGAAGCGCTTTTATGCCCTCAGGTCCGAATTGCGCGCCGGTGGCAGATTGGAGCATCTGGGGTTGCTTGGCTCAGGTCATTTGTGATTAGCTTTGCGGTACTTTAGACTTCAATTTGTTGTGAGACGAGCTGGGGATATCATTGAAGTGCTGCACAGCTCTACAGCCCAAAGCGTGCACGCCAACTAGGGCGTGTGATTGGAGATTCACCAGCATGCATCCATTGAAGGACTCAGACCCTGGCAGAAGTCAAAAAGCTCCTTGAGATTTTTTGGCGTGCCGGCAGCGTGTCCGGGCCCAGGCTTCACTGTTTGCTGTTGAGTTGTACCTCAATGTATCGAGTCCTCAGAGAGGAGACGTTCAGCACCTGTGTTGAGCCAGCCAAGCGAAAGGTCATACTTGCAGCGCGAGCAGCTCCCATTGCAAGTGAGGCTTGCAAGTCTGGACCTTGAGAGTGCCTTCAGATAGCGATGCCGCTCCTACGTAGATCCTCCTGAGAAAAGCATTTGAACATTGTTGTAAGGCCTCAACCACGTGCAGTGTTCCAGACTGCACTGGGATGATCTTCCTCTTCGCTTGGTCCCTTCCTGAGACGTGCTGCTTCCTGTCAAAAGTTTTCCTACGGCAAGGGGCTTGGTACGTTTCGTGCATTCCAGCCGGCTCTGAAGTCAACTGAGCGACATCATCCTGGTAATGCTTCTAGAATACTCACTCCACACGACAGTAAATGCGGTGTGGTTACGTATTGTCAGCAACCCAGACACTGAAATGCCACATGGCCTTTCCAACCTCAGTTACCAGTCACCACTGTAATCCCAATTTCCCCTTCCCTCTGCACCCATCACCCATCATGCTTCCAAGTGCGCATGGAGAAGTTGGACGCTCTGCAAAGTCAAATTCCCAGCATCGGCGTGAGGCATGATGCCTCTTTGAGGCAAAGGCTTGAGGAGTTGGAGAGCACCATCGGAAGGTCTCGTGGCCAAATAGCTTGAATTTTCATACTACGCCCCGCAAAGCTGCCTATAAAAGCCTGCAATACGCCCGCGACAGGCTGGATGCGCGGAGCTGCTTCCGTGCTGCTGATGCGTCAGAAGAGTCCGATGGAGAAGCTGGCATCTACGAGCGATGCGTGCGTAGCTTGCCTCAGTTTGCGAGTCTGGACGCAGAAGTCTCAAATTGCCCGGTATGCTCTCGGGAGCATCTTGAGCCGTGCCGGCCCATGCCAAAGGCCAACACTTGGAAGAGTCAAGGTTTACCTGCGGACATTCAAGAAGAGGTGCAATGGCGCCAGCAGCACACAGACCTGCTTCACCAGAAGATCAGCATGCTTGAGCGGGAGAATGCAATGTGGGAGAGAAAGCTGCAGATGTTAGGGCGTCGAAGTCCTGGCACATCCCCTCAGAACAAGATTGTTCAGCTTTTCCCAAAAGAAAGGCAGCAGGTCGAGCCTGACAACAGCCCTCCGTCAGGCATGTCAGGCCCTGGGCACGCGTTTGCCATGTTGGCGTACGAGCCTGAAATTGCAGCCTTGCTCGAGTCTCCAAGTAGTGCACGAGAGGTCTTTGAGAGGATGAAGCACCCTCGCGCGTTGCAGCCACTGCAGCCGAAGCTGAAGCCCGACATGTCGCCGCCACGCAAGGAAGAAGAAGATGTATGCGATCTGGATGAAGCCAAAGCGGCTGCAAAGCAGGCCGAGGTGGAACGCTTCCAGGCAGAACAGCGGGAGCGGCAGGCACGGCGTGCGGATCTGCAGCAGGGTCTCCGAGACGAACTGCAACAGATGAGAGCCCTTGAAGACGAGCGAAGACGACGACGAGAACAGAAGCGAGCAGAGCTGGAGGACGAGCTACATCAGCAGCTGCAGCAAGAGAAGAAGGAGTGGCAGCTTCGCCAGACTCGGCAGGAGATGTTAAGGAAGGAGCGAGACAAGCGAAGAGACGCAGCACACCGTGAGCTTATGCTCGTGGAACTGGACAGGCTGCGCGACAAGATCTCCCTGAAACAGCAGTTCAGCACACCTGGCTCACAGGCTCAGCCAACATCCCTGGCAGACAACCTGCTGCAAGAGTTGCTGCAGATGCGGCTTGCAGCTGATGGCAAGGAGGCGCATGCTTTGCAAGACGCGTTGGACAGGGGCAGGCTTCTGACGCTGAAATCGTTTGCCTGGCAAGATTGGCTGACTTCGCTGCACGGGTATCTTGATATCACTCCCCAAGTCCTGCACGAGCTTGAGCCCGTGTTCCATGGGGGGCAGAGATCCCTCTCACTCTTCGATGTGGAGGCTGCCTGTGGAGAGGAGGGGAAGCTGTCCAAGGAGGTCAACGCCAGTCTAAGAAAATGGGCACGCGAGGAAGAAGCCCGACAGGCATGGCTTGACGTCTTTCCTACATCGATTTTGTCTGATCCAGTTTGCAGTTTTCCCATTTCCCCACAGGTGCAAGAGCTGGAGATGAATTTAGAGTCTTGGGTGCTTTTCTACGGAGACTTGCGCCTCGGTTCCTTCATTTTTGTTTAGCTCTGCCAGCTGTGCCGCTGTGTGCCATGCTGTGCCTACTCGTTTGCTGCTTGCTTATAAGGCTGAGTGGGAGGAGCCGGGACAAAGAGGCCGACGTCCTCGTGCTGGAGGAAGCCTTCAAAGCTCTAGCAGCTGACGCTGAGTCTACGTGCCTATCATTCTCTCGATCTTGTCAGGCTTTCGAATCGGACAAGTGCTCGGAGCTGCAAAAGCAGATGCTCAGCAATTGGCTACACGCCATGATCCAAAAGAATGAGCCGACACTGCATGTCGATAAGCCCAGCAAGTTGCCAGCAAGGGTGGCACAGCCGGCGACAGCAGTCAAGGAATCAGCGCATAGGGCGAGCAAGCACTCTGAAGATCTTGCCCGTCCTGCTGGCTGGAGCTCAGACAGAGTTGACGTCCAACCAGCTAGCAGTCCAGCCTGCTCAGAAAATCGCAATCATCAGCCAGAAGGCTCCCTGCGGACTGCAGAAAGCGCGCCAGCCGCAGCACCTTGCATGGATCCAGCTTCGCAAGCTGAGACTGAGCCATTTCAGGGCGGCCAAGTGGCTAAGTTCGAAGTGCAGCCCAAGCTCCAAGAGCCATCAGCCACTGAACCCGCTACAAAGCAGCAAGGCCTCAGCCATTTACATCCTGACGGTACGGTTGTTGCTGGTACCAAGCAACCATTAGCTGGCCCTGGGAGAGGCTCTGGTGAATCCTCCCGAGGCATCAGCCATGGAGCGGTTCCGCAGCCGTCACTCGTGTCACCTGAGAAGCGTACCTCACACAGTCCTCAGAACGGTGAAGCTGAGACCCTTCTCAACCCTGGTCAGGACGCAGCGCGCTCAGGGGAAGCAGAGGCAGAAGGAGGGGCACAGGCTGATGGGGGGGCCAAAGGGCAGTCTCTTCCAGCTCCATCTCCCGAAGTTCCCGAGGATCAAGGGGCTGAGGCTGAGGCCGAGTCTGGTTCACCTCCAGACGCTCAGGTGGGCAAGCATAAGGCCACGGCCACAGGTGGGCAAGCGGCCGAAGTGGTGGAAGGCCAAGAGAAGGAGGACGAAAACGAGGCGGAAAAGGAGGACAGCTTTGGGAAGGAACAGTGGCTGGATTGGTTTCTGAGTGCGGAGTTGACCTCAGACGAGGAGCAGTTGCTGCGTGCAGCTTTGCACTCGCTGAGCTCAACCCGCGCCATCAGCGCAGACTCGCTTCGTGCTGCCTTGAAGGCACACGAGGAGCGAGCTACCCAAGAAGAGCGAGACCAACTGCAGGAGTGGTCGCAGTGGGTCTCTGACATGGATGAAGACTGATGAAGAGTAGATTCCGGGCCCTGCTCCTGAGCTGCTCGCAGAATGCGAGTTCAGCATTGTGAGTGGGCCAGGCTCGTTCCTGCCCGGCAAAAGGCAGGTGCCTGTTGGCATCAGGGCTGGTCAAGACAAAGCAAGGGCAAGAACCTTGGGTTCCCGCGCGGAAGCTGTAAAAATTCCAAGCCACCCTTGGGTTGTAGGATCTGATGATTGAAAGGCTATGCGGCCATGCGCTATCCTTGTGAGAGTCTTGTGAGGTTTGCACGTTGGCTGGAGCCCAGCACCCAGTCCAGGCAGCTAGCCGCCACTGATGAGGCCTGCTTTATTCAAATTTACACTGCACTGCCAGACCGAGCCGTGGAAGCTTGGGAAGGGACAATTGCTTTGTTGGCTTGCTTCCTGGTCACGCTTGGCCCGAAGGTCCTGACTCATCCCCTCTAGTGCGCTCAAACTCTGCCGTTCGCAGAACGCATGGGCCCGGCTGCCAAGATTACCTGCCATCTGCGCTGGTCAAGGGCCGCTTGTCGACGCGGAGAGTAGGCTCATGTTCAATCCATTCAGCTACTACTGGCGTCTATGGCGTGATGAAAAGCAAGCATGCATGAAGGCCGGGCGATTTCGCTTGTTTTTCCTGTGTCCCAGTGAAAACCAAGATTTCTGTTGAAGAATTTAGGCAGGGCTCGTTTTCGGTACTGCCAAGACTCCTTCGCGGGCAAGAGAAGATGTGGGCTGAAAAGCGTAACCCTGCCTCTTTTTGCATTTGCCAGGTGCACAGCCTGGACATTGATCTAGAGAAGCAGAAAATGGAAGTTGCCAACTTGCAGAGATTTGACCAAGAATTGATCCTGGCATACAAGCGCTTCAGCTTATTTGGTATCCTATATGACCACTACTTTGTAACAGACGGGAAGTGGACTATCGAGTTTCGGGGAGACGAGGTGGCAGAGGCCTGTGTTCATGTGCATTGTCGGGATCCTGGATACTATGATGTAGCAAAGGTTTTCGGCAACTCTGAAGAAGTGTTGCATCGTATGCGGAGGGTATGTGGGGCACGCTCGTTTTCGTTCTGCTTCCGCAATTGCGAGCATGTTGCTCGCTATATCGCAGAAGGCAGGTGGTTCAGCGCACAAAGTGCCGCTGATGGCAGCTTATGGAGGAAATGCATGTCAGATCTGGCAGGAAGTCATGCGCTGAAGCTCAATAAGTGGCCCTGGGAGCTGGAATCGTTACTCAGCGAGTGTTGCCTGAACGACTGCTGTGGCTTCGTGAGCTGTCAGAGTGAAGACTGCTATGTCGTGCACGATCCTAGTATGTTCAACGTTTTGGTTATTGGAGCTGAAGCGGAATTGGCAAGGTCCATCGCGCCACACCTCACGGGGATGGCACCCAGACGTGCTAGCCCGGAGGCTGTCCCATTGAAGCTTGAGGTGACACGCGGCTCAGCCTCCGTCGGTGGCCGCAGGCGTGATGTCCAAATCATGACCATCGCTGGCTCCATCCAACAGTATGGTGATGAAGCAGCTTCAATTCTAAGATCTCATCTTCGGGAAGATGTGATTTGCGTGGACCGAGTTCTGGTTTTCATCCAGGGGCCTCTCAGCGACTCCATGCAATCATTTGTGAAGCTGCTGGGCATCCAGGAAAATCCCACGAACTTCACTTTCATCCAACACCAACTTGAAGACACGTCACGTGAAGCCTCTGAAGAGCTGCTGGCCGCGTTGTACATCCAAGTGGGCGCAACTGCCCAGATAATTTCAACTCCTCATCTGCGGCCGCACGGTCAGCACTGTCTCAGCTTGGAGTACCTCAAGCCTGAGGAGCGGCCGAGTCGAGTATTTGCAGCCAAGATGGGCTTGCCCAATCTAAGAGCCGACTCAGGAGAGATCATTCCTTTGCTTATCCCTGGGATGTTGGATGAACCAGAAGCCCTGGCGAAGCTCTTGGATGCCACGTTTCTTCCCTGCGAGGGGCACTTCTTGTCAAGAGATTGGCGGCTGCAGGTTGACTCAAGTGAATGTTTAGTTCAGTGACGCCGTTCCAGGGCCAGCCCATGCTCGTCAAAGTCACGGCATGATAGTGCAAGCTGTCCTGCGGCTCATTGTCATTATGGCAGAGCTTCGGGGCAAGAAAACTCACATCCGCGCAAAGCATGAGGTCCACAGAGGGGCAAGGAAAGCAAGGAAAGCAGGGCAATGCAAAAGACGGCGGAGGTAAGTCAGAATGAAGCCTCGCTTTGAGCATCACAACAGATCGGGTAAGCTGCATGCTGAAAGAACAAGACCTTAGAGTTCGGGTCCACAACTTTAGAGTCTCTGTGATGGATCTCCGCATCTTTTCCTGTGATCGAAAACTGCAGCTGAAAGCAAGCACAAAGAAGAAGCGGAAGTAGTAGTAGAAGAAGAGTCAGCTATGCTGGTCACACCGCCGCGTTTTGCTGTTCGAGCCCCGCAGGGAAATAACAGCTGGAATGCGGGTCGAGCTTGGGTGTATGGATTCTTTACATCAAAACACAACAGTTAGCTTCAGGCACAGTAGCCAGCACAACGGGCAAATTTACCACATGAATACATAAGTCGCATCTTCGCAGCTGCCCCACCCTCACTTGCCGCTGTCGCATGTGGTGATGGTCAGCTGGACAAGCGTGCCGAAATCAATTCGATACTCTTCGCTTAGTGCAAATCTGGCAAAGTTCAATACGCCAACGTCGCACGCATGGTGTCGAAAACCAGTCCCCCTCTCATTGCCGTCCTGGTTGGTTGCCACCATGCCGTTGCCATGTACCGCGGAAGATACAACAAGCGCACTCATGCCCCCACTTCTCGTCATAGCTGCCCTGCTGTGGCTTACAATGCTGAGTAGCATTGGCCTGCAGATGGGCGGGGCTGAGCCCGGCGTGGAGTCAACGTACTGGTGGATGGGTGGCAAGGAGGACGACGGCAGGAGGCCAAAGAAGAAGACCACACGAGTGATTAAGCAAAAGAGTCATGCAAGGCCTGTCGATTAATGCTGAAAGCCTGCTGAGTTTGGTCAGAAGCCAGCAATGCTTGCGCTTGGCAGGAGATGTAGAGCAGAGCTCGTTTGTGGAAAAGATGGAGTGCCTGCAACTTGTAGTTAAGCAATCGAGCACCAGGAGTGCTTAACCTTGCGGTTGGGCATGCTCAGGCCGGAACGGAGGTTCTTCCAGAGAGTCGGGTGTTGCTGACTTGCTTTGCATGTTCAGCCATGTTCACGTACTCTCACTTACAGCACAAGGCGGACCGCGCTGCTTTCCCGGTTCTCGAGTCATTGCCGATAGAAAGTGCTAGACTTACGGTGGCCTCTAATGCAAGCCATTTCAACACTGCGGCTGTGCGGCCTCTTTTCACCAACACGAGAGGGGGTTGGCCAAGGACAGGTGGCAATCTCTCACGAGGCCCCGCGTTGTGAATGATGATGATGATGATGGTGGTGATTATGACGTGGATGTGAAGCACCAGTAGGAATTTGACCGCATGCGCACTGTTGCAGGACTGGAACGCTCGCATCGTATCCCCTTCAGCTAGGTCCTGGATCAATGGAGGCCGCTTTCATGCACGCCAGAAGCCTAATGCGCGACGCTCGATTTCTATCAGTCTTTTCAATCTGTCGCTGCGCTTGCTTTGGGGAGCTATGGCTTCAGTTTTAAGGACATGGTCGGCATCCTCTGCAAGTACATATTGCAGTAGGTAGAACTAACTAGGGAGAGAAGACCAAGGGCAAGCTTGAAACATTGCTCTCTGGCCCAGACACTCAATGCAAGGCGTGGGAAGAAGCTCCTGCTTTTCCCAAGGCATCACACACCACAATACATCAGAGCTTCATAGCTGGAATTTGGAATTGCAGCACACCATGGCATGGGCGCAGCTGATGGGGGAGTGCGGACGGGTTTGGCCCTGGTGCGTGCTGTTTTGCGTTGCCTTAGCGGCCTCGCCGTCATCTCGACCTCTTACACTTGAACAACGGCTTCTGCTCATTGCATGGCCTGCAAGTTGCGCATGGCAATTGCGTGAGCGCAGAGGTAAGGGGGAGAACTCGGCAACCTCTTTTTCGTCAAAGCTTCTCCAGCTTCTTGCGGCAGTGGGCATGACCAGCTTTATCAGCAGAATAATTGTCACAGGCTCGGGGGCCTTTGCTGCGGCTCTGCCGTGTGCATCCCTGCTCTCGTTGGCACATATGACTTTCCCCTTGGAGCTACCGCTGGGCGAGTTTGTTCCTTGGTGGTCGCTTCTGGTCCTGGGCCTCATTTTGGTAATTGGTCCAGAGGACATGCGCGCAGCGGCTGGCCTCCGTGTTGGGAGGATAAACGGGGGACCCCTCATGTGGTCTGCCATTTGCATGGTGATCTCGACTTTGGCCCTTGTTGGCTGGTCGAAAATCTGGGTTCGCGGTGACCACGGCCCTATCCAAGACGCCCTAGCACCAATGATGTCGCCGGCTTCCGTGCTGCCTCTGGCAATTGTCAATGCTCTGCGCGAGCCTTGTAAGATCAAATAAGGGTCAGCACTGTCCTTGATAAGGATTAAAGACGTTGAGTTTGGGATTTCCGGATGCTCCCCTCCCCTACGGCCTTCATCCCAGTAGCGAAGCTGGAGCGCATTGTCCAAGGAAGAGCTGCAATTTCGGATGATGTTCTTGGGCGGAGTGCTGTCAGGGGATGCCTCGCAGTGCACCTTGATCACCGCCATTTCCCTTGGTCTGCACTCCGCTTTCTTCGCTTTGCTTCACTACGTGGGAGGCTTCCCGCGCGGTATGAGCGGATTCGTGCTAGTGCTGATTTGGAGCCTCTTCCTAGACATCCTTCGGATCTGGAGTGGTGGGATGGCCCTGGTGCTTCTGCTGCATGTACAGGCGGACGTCACCATATTCTTGCTTGTCCTCATGGAGGACCGGCACCGGCGACTGAAGAACCAGCAGAGCTATTTGGATTGACGTCTTTGTAGATTGCACTAGGATGCTTAACTCTGAAGTTCCCACATGTGCAGCGGTGGGAAGCTACCGCGCAATCCCAGAGCTTCAAAATGATTGGAAGCATTGCGGAACATGCACACACTGGCTGGCAGCTTCGAGTCGTTGCCTCGTACTGATCTGCATAATTACATGCAGCAGCCTTGGCCAAAGAAGAGCCTGGCACAGGTTGGAAGCAAGCCTTGGTGCAGGTGCCTGCAGGATGGGCCTGAAGCCCAACTTTTGCAACTCACAAAGCTAGGTGGTAGCATGACAGTGACACTGCGCAATACTGCGCAGCATGGCGCAGCCGAGGCAGTGCTTCTCAAAGGAAGTACATGGGACACCGACCCTGCAGAAGGTTGAGCTGCAGCTGCAAGGTATTCACCTTTTTCGTCGGCGCAGCGCCAGGTTACAGGGCAACAAGTCCTGGCGCTCTGCATCGCTCACCTGATCAGGCCGCCCATGTGCAGCTTCAGGACTTCAGGACTTTTTCCCCTTCACTTTTTTACTTCAGAGCACACCTTTCTCTACTTAGAGTGCTTGTGGCCATCGTGTGTGTTCATTCACAAATCCTCCGCAAGCTCTCGCTCCCTGTTGCGTTCTGACATGTTCAGGAACCCGAAAAGGTCTGATACAGGGGTCGCAAGTGATTGTTGCCCTTGGGATCATGTGCACAGAGCCAAACCACCGCCAAATCATTAAACCTGTTCTACTAGGCAGAGGAAGGCAGCAGCTTAGCGTTCGCAAGTCGAATGGCGTTTGTTGCCTGGTTATTCGTAGAGGCTCCAACTTTGACTGGGTTTTGGACTTCAGTACGAAGTCCGGGGGCTCTTTTTGCCAGGCGAGTCAAGGCCTGCCCTGCACATGCATGACGAGATGTTTGTGCCCGTGGATGGCTCCATGTTGTTGTGACGTTTACATGTAGCGGCCCACCCTTCGCGAGCCCTTGGAAGATGGGTGGGTTCGCAGCGCGCAATGCCCCGCTCCGAGTCCAGGCAGGGAGCAACTGCAGTTCGCGCGCGGCGTTTCTCAGACTCCCCGTGTCGGCTGGGCCATGGACTACACTACGGCTCGCAGAGGTGTTTAGGCTGCATGGGCCTCCATCGGCGCGTTGGACTCCTCCAAGCTCAGAAGGACAAGCTGAAAGATCTGGCAGCTTTGCAGCGCGAGGAACTCGCGCGCCTGGAAGAGGATTGCAGCAAGCTCCGGACGAAAAGAAATCTTGAGCAGGCAGACTTTGACCTTCAGAGCTATTCCCGCAAGTGTTTGGCAGACATATCGCTATCAGAACTTCAGCATCTTCTGGACCAGCGCAAGCATCTCGAGGAGGAGCTAAGCAGCTTTAGGGCTGGTCCAGACCGTCTTCGAAGCAGCCGTCAGGCTGAGGTGGAGCACGCAGCTGCCAGGGAGGCGTGGCTGCTAGAGCATCGACAGCTGAAACAGGATGTTGCAGCAGCTCAGGCTTATGTTGCTTCTTTGGAGCAAGAAATTGAAAGCCGGAGGGAAAGAGTCACGCTGGGCCGCTTGGCCGATGCGGAGCGCAGCCGGCAGTTGCGTGAGCAGGTCGCTGAGCAGCGACAGCTTTGCAGAGCCACGCAGCAGGCACTACAGGATGCTGAGACTGACCTGGCAGCGGCCCAGGCACAGAGGCGAAAGTTCACTCCATCGGATGCTGTCACAGCCCGTGCAAGGGACCTCAAGGCAGAGATGGCGGCTTTGGCAGACGAACGGCGGGAAGGGGCGGAAGCATTGCAGCTTGCCAGCGAGGAGCTGGAGAAGCTTCGGCGAGAGCTTGGCGCCATCTTAGCAGATAACGCTCAACTACGCTCCGGCCTCCAGGACGTAATGCATGGCTTGGAGCAGGTTCAGCATCAGCTGTGAGGTTTCCGAGCCTGTAACTCTAGACGAACGTGGCTACCTGCGCCCAATTCGTGCAACCTGCAATTTGTCCGTTTCTGTGGCAGCTTGCAAAATGTTTGATACTACTTGAATTGCATGTTCTTCACTCTGGCGATGCGATTAGCTGCCGACCTGGTAGAGGGGAGGAACGGCCAGGGATTGAGAGGGTTCAGAAACATGTTCAGAATGTTTTCCAGAAATCTTGGATTCGCGAATCGCCTTGACCAGCCCAGAATTCACACCACTAAAGGGCTTCACGTTACAGGTCTCCGTCTGCAAATACATCCAGGTCCAGTGAGACAACCAGTAATGCACAAAAGGGGGTGTGAAACCAACTTTGGCGACGAGATGTTGTGATGGAAGAGTTTTCGTTGACTGTCAAGTGGGCGACTGGGGAAGAATGTTGATCCTGCACATAGCTCAGCACAACCTGCGAAGTGCAGCAAGTGACTCGCAAGGCTGCGCAGAGAGTCGGGTCCTTAAATGCCATCATTCGACAGCAAGCGTGTGTGTGCAAGCCGTACAATCCAAGCTAGCATCTGAAAAGGGGCCGAAGTCTGTGAAGACTAAGGTTCTGATTCAAATTGACTTCGTGGACCCCGATGCCCAAGGTTTCAAAGTTGCACTGTTTTTGCAAACAGCTGACGTTTGCCTACGCCATTTTGCTTGGCAAGACAGATGGTGCTTTGCACGTGCCGAAAGTTGCGCTGGTGCTCTGTGTCAGGTGCATGACAGTGCATGAGCCAGCCGGCAAGATCTGCAGGAGTGGCCGTGGCGACAAGTCGGCAGAATTTCTAGGATAGTCAACTCAAGATACTTTCGGCACGTAGAGACCACTCGAGAAACATGCTGCTGCATGCGTGCTAGCTCAGCGTGCCGAGTCGGCATTTGTACAGACCTGACCCAATTTTCATGCGCCTTGACGGCAGTCATGCGGAGATTTGCGGGATGTTCCGGACTTCCTGTGGCAAGAACGACTTTTCAGTAGACCGCGCACAACTCATCCTGCTAATCTTCAGCAGAAGGGTGGTTTGCGATTCAGACCACAAGCTGCATGTGTGCTTCAACAGCGATGAGATGTCAGGAAAGTTGCCTAATCCTTGCCGCAAGTCGTCGCTGCAACCATGATGTGTGTGTGTGGATGCATGGTGTGAAGAGCTTGAAACACACCGTAGAGATCCACAAGCCTGGCTGCTGACCATTTCCATGCGCCAACCGTGGCTCAGGCACTCCCCCTGTCTATATAGGGATAGTTGTAGTTTCCTAAGGCATGTGTGCATGTCATTGCTCACGTTTGGAATCTTCCTGCTAGTGGCTGCGAGCCATGGTCTGTGCTTTGTGGCAACCTCGAGGGACATGGTGGTCTCCGTTGCCGCAGAAGAAAGGATGCCATCCGGCCAAGCCACAGCAGTGGATAGCGTCTGCCAGCCCAGCAAGGGCGGCTGCAGCAGTAGCTGCTATGGTAGTGGCAAGACGCCATGAAAGACACGAAGGAAGGATTGCCTTACTGGCAGCTGAAGGACCCATGGCCGGAGTGGGCGCCCCACCTCCAGCCGAGCGGCCAGCGTTGCCCAACATGCTCGGCTCGAAAACGCTTCGAGTGCCTGATTTCGCACCTTGCACGGCCACCTTGAACGAGGTTGGAACCCGCCACGCTCATGCCTTTGTTGCGTGGTTTGACATGTACAAAATGTCCTGCTGAGTGAATCAGATTGATAATGTGTTTGTTGAAGGCCCGGATGCATACTCCAGCTGAGATCATGTGGTTTTGTCGACATTTGCCCCAGGATCAAATACAAGTTGTTGTTGAGACAAGAGACAAGAGGCTGTGGATTCAAAATACCGCCGTTAGGCCATGAATGCAAGGTTATTGCTCACATGACCGTCATTCCATTGCCCACTCACCGCAGCCACTTACGGGCCCTAATTCTGGGTCAGTGCTGGCTTTGCTAGCTTAGATGCCGACATGTTTAACGCACTTTTGCGCTGAATGGCGCCGTGCTCGCCGGGTTTTACAGGTTCACAACCTGGATTTGGAGACAAAGCGCGAACTTTACGGTGTTCTCGCGTCTGACTTGGTTGTCGCATGCGACGGACCACTAGCAGAAAGGCATGGTGTTGGATTCTGGCATGCAGACTTTGAAGAATCTGCCGGAGTCCGGATATGGCTGCAGCAGACGGGGACGGTTGTGGCAGGATCCACTGATGAAGTCGACACAAATGACGGAGACACAGTTGTAGATGAAAGCATTGGCACTGGGAGTCGCTCCATTAATTTACGGAGCAAGTCCGGTGCTCTGAGCCTCTTGAAGGGGATTGCAGGCAGACCTTCTCCCAAGAAGCTCGATGACCAAGCATCGACTTATTCCTGGAGCATCCAACCACTGAGTGCCAGCAACGCCAAAGTCGTAGCATCTGGCGAACACAATCTGCTTTTCCGAAACCCTGACCATCCCATGTCACAGTTTCCAAACGAGGCCAACAAGGATGAGTTCGTGGCTCTGATGAAGAAGAGCCTCATGGCTGAAAGCCTCTTTACTGAGGGAGTTGGGCCACATCACCGAAATGATGAGCAGCCAATAGCAACCACGCAAGATGCAGAGGATTTGTTTGAGGCTTTGCTCATTCACCAGCACATCTGCCGCCTGACATCAGGATCTGTGCTACAGTTGGGGCGTATTATGGACGAGCTGGTAAAGCGATGGAGCATCCTCACTAAATTCCGACAGCTTATCGAACGGGATACCGCAACGATCGGTACCTTCATTCAAACGTATTTCTTAACTCCTAAAGTCAAGTACATCGACTCCAATGAGATTTATCATTTTTTCCGCGGCGGACCTGGCCTGCGAGACGTGAGCGTGGATGAGGTTTCCCAACAGCATGTCAATAGCCTCGCGTGTGTCAAGGCAGGTAATTCTCATTCTTGCGTTAACGCCCTAAGTCTCACAGGTGCTGTCATCACTGGACGAGGATGGAGATGGGAAAGTGGACTTGCAGGCCCCGTCCTGCAAAAGCAGTTCAAAGGCTTCAAGTGTGCATGATGCAGGTGAATGCAAGACATTTCAGCCCTCCTCCCTGCTAGGAGTGCCAAAGACAGCTGTCTCTTGTTGCGCCACCGAGACCAAGCCTGCTGGAATTAGACTCTTGTCTGGATTGGCCTGTCCATGAACGGCAGCAAGGACGACTCTTCTATGACTAGTTGAGTCGGTATGGTTGGAAAGCCACATACCACACATGCAAGCAGAGTATAGAAGTAAGGAAACCCTCAACAGCTCCTTAAAAGAAACAATAATTCTAGACCAGTGTGAACCCTCGATGCTAACATGCTTATTCTAGGGTCTCACTTTCTTAAATTCAGCGCTGTGCCTCGTACCTGAAGAGATAGATGTTAATCTGACTGCAGCTGGAATCTGAAGCATGTTCTATGTTTTTTTCCAGCAAGCTCTGCCAGACTCAAAAACCTGCAGCCCAGAGTCAAGCAGCTTCAGGGCAGCCAGCTGGAGTTGAAGCATGGCTTGGGCCGCAGTGCCATCAGTGGCGGGCTGAAGGAGCCGGCCTCCTTATTTGAACACCTATGCACCTCCGACATATCAGCTACTGTGGCGATAGGGTGGGAACAGTGAAAGCCAGTGCTGAGGGACATTTTGGGTTTGCATGGCAAGATGCTTTGGCAACGGCTAGTCCATGAGGTTCTTCGGAGGCGTTGCATCGCCTTTGTAGACTTGGGCAGCTACATCACAGGAAGCTTGTTGTAGCCTGCTCAGATGTGTTAGCGCAAGGTACGGTGGAGAAGGTCAGCCCTCCACCTGAAGATGTGGCGCGCTTGTACCGTGCACTCAGCAGCTCTAGAGCAAGCCGGGAGATTGGCAGCTCTGCTGCATTCAGCATGTCTCTGCCTGCATGCCATCTGCGCTTCTGGATGTCCCTGACAAACGTCCGCACTGCACTGCTAGGCACAGAGAACCTGTCCCAAATCCTGCGCCAGCCGCCATTGGATATCCAATGGGGCGTAGAGGTGCACACCATCCCGGCTTTGTATGATGCTTTGGCATGCCGGATGTGCCTCAGCTGGTAACAGTATTTATTGTAGACCACATTCATAGAAGGAGAGACATGAAAAAAGTTGCGTGGGCCAGGTAAGATTTTGGAATCGATCACAAGTGCGATCCATCCTATTCAATACCAAGCGTAGGATTTCTCCTGTCTTCAAGGGTCAAAGTTGTGACTACTTGGATGGGCGGGTGGGT